CACAGGGTGTGCTGTGTCACTATCTACCGTTTTTAACCACAGAGTGGCAGCTGCCGTCGTTCGCTAGCAATGGCGTCAAGAAGATTGAGAACATGAGTCCTTTGGTTGCGTATGATTTTCCGGAGTTGATTTGATGATCAGTGCTCAGTAAATGCTTCGTGATTAGTGAGGTAGTCATGCCTTCAATTGGCCGGGATGGGACACAGAGTACGCTTAGTGGAATTGACCTATTTTAGCTCAACACCTACAGGTGAATTCGTATAAGCATTTGGATGCGTACTGTTTCAACCGTACTGTCATTGCTAAAGACCAACTTGCTAGCCGGTCCGTGGCCTGATGTATCACAAGCCTGCCTTGTAATGCTGAGGTCGCTGGTTCGAGCCTGCATAAGGGACTGAGCGACCTTCGAAGTATCTTTAGCCTACGTGAAAATGGTGGTGGTTGGGCGGCAGCGAAGCACCGCTACTTCGTACTGGCGTACTGCTGATGCCTCGCAGACATGAGCAGGTGTAGTTCTCTTGCATTGTGCGCACTTCCTTGAGTCGCTTATGCTTTTCGCAACGACGTTCATGATAGTACCGTTTTAATATGGTATCTTGATAAGTCCATGTTTTCTTGAACCATTGTTGTTAGATTTCATCTTTTTGTGTCACCGAGATCTTTTATAAACTGTACTACTTATTAAGCGCATGGGTACCCATGCCCCACTTATACACTAATACACAAGGCCATGCTCAGTTGTTGTGGAGTTCTCCGAGCTGGGCAACTTGATTGCAAACGTTTCACCACCATTCGAGGTGGCATCTTCAGTGCGGGATTGATAGCAGTTAGATAGCAGTAGCGTTTCGAACACTAGGCCATATTAGCAAGTTGGTCGTACTCCGTCATCGTCAGACTTCAGAGCATCGGGTTATGAAAATGATGGCCCAAAGGTGACTGAGCTGTATGATTACCGACTCCACGATCACTCTACTAGGTATGGCACTTTTCCGGAACGACAAGATTGGTAGGTGAGGGGAGTGATCATGTATTAGAAAGCAAACCTTCGCTGTGAACTCACTGACGATCCCCAAAGGCATGTCACTGAACTCTTTTGGTGCAAACTGTGGTTAAAGGAGAACGATATGCGCCTTGTGTCCGTAGTTTACCGACTACAAAAATTCACTCCGGAAAAGGGGAATGGATAATATCGGCTTTGCGTAGTGTGGTAAATCAGAAATACAGCCATATCATCAGTACAAGAGATTCCATCATCTGATGTATAGGAAATCCAACACCTAACCGTGCACAGTTCAAAGCACACTCCTGTACAATCACGTCACCGCTCCCATCTGGTTCAGAACGAATAAGCCGTCAAAGTTAGACCTAGTGCTTATCAGCAAGGAATTCATGGTTGATGGGTTAGATGTGTGCAGTCGTTTTGGTAGAAGCGATCACGTGACTCCACTGCCTGATTACATTCGCTGAATATCCAGATGCAAAGCCGAAAGGATGCAATTTATTACCTATTGTCATGTATTGCTCGCAGTCGCTGAAAACACTAGTTGGACATTCATGACTGAGTGCAGCGTAGAGAGTGCTTGGGAAACATTCGTAAAAACCTTCATTTCACTAGTCGCAAAAGCATCAGAACCGAATGCTAAACAGTGTCCTCCCAAACTAACATCCTTTTTGAGAAGCTGGAGACGAAAATATATGGCAATAAGGGATCGATCGGACGTGGAGCTTTCACACAAACAATCCCAACGCATAAATATTGGATATTGTACGTAGCTTAACGCGACAATTGTGGACAGTTAGTTCGTGAGAACAGGTTAACACGTCAGCGGAAGATGATGAGACAATACTGTTAAGAGCATAATCTTCCTCATGGATATGTCAATGGGCTTCGCAAGGTGCAGCGCGAAATCCCACTGCTCGCCACAGTTGGTGGGTACACACATACAACGAGGGAGACGGATAATACCTTACGGGCCTAGTACTCACCTAATGTCTAAGCGGTACAATTCTCGAAGGCTATTCTTGTTTCTCTTACTCCAGCATCGTTTATTCGGAGACACTTTCACTTCAGAAACGGTGCTGTAAAGCTCCTATACTTGAGCGCCCTCCTGGAGCTAACAACAGTGATCCGAGAGCAGCGCAGCTAGCAGCCGTTCACTTAGCCGAACGATTGCTGGATTCTTTCAGTATTATCTAGACGGCAACATACTTGCGTCAAAGTGGAATCTGAGTACTATAACCCCATTCACAAGGTAATAAGTCGACATGTTCCCGGTAACGCATCTCCCTGTGTTCGCCAAATTCATGGAAACGATGCTCGCAGACGTGGAAAGCTACGGCATCATGACACCGGAGCAGCACGGGTTTCATCAACATCAATCTTGTACCACGAACCTGTTGATAGCGCGCGATAATTGTACCGAAGCCTTCGATGAGGGTAGAGGAGTTGGTGTTATCTAATTGGACATTTTAAAAGCGTTCGATCGCTTGAAACATGGTATCCTGTTTCACAAACTTAAGCACTACGGATGGGAAATCCATTATTGGGATAGATCAGCATTTTGTTCTGAGGACGGTAAGTAGAGTTCAGAGTCCGAACATCTTTGTTCGATCCGATTCGAATGGAGTGCGGAGTACTTCAATGTTCGGTACTTGGGCTTCGCCGGTTCTTAGAATTCATTAACGATCTAGCGAAAGGTATCAACTCAAAGATTTTACTCTTCACTGAAAACGTTAAGGTTTGGTGAGTGATCGTGATTGGACAACGAGGTCCTCCAGCGCGACCTCGATGATGCCTGGAATAAGTCGGGAAGGAACGCGCTGTCAGTCAATGTGGGCAAGTGCGGCATTGTCTATATCAATCATCGACAAACCTCTAGCTACTGGCTTGGGGCGCACGAACTGAAGACCACGTCTCCGGTACGTGACTTCTAGATGCAGGTACAGGACGACGTCTGTTGTTCCAGCTAGTCCGAGTACGCCTCAAAAAGTAGTAACCAACTTGTTGCTTTTTTGCGGAGAGCACTCAGAAGTTTAGGTTCATGCATGCATCTCTGCTGCTTAATTCCAACATGCGTCCACATGTCGAATACGCCAGCCAAGCACGGCAACCTTGGACGAACCGGCCCGTAGCCTATAGGTAACGAGCTTGTACTCTGGAGGCGCCGGTTCAAGCCTGTGTAGAGTCAGGGTGAGCCTCGCAGTATCCTTAGCCCAAATGCGTACCGGCATACTGCTGATGCCTTCTTCTCTATTTATCCTGCCCAAGGCGTGACATTACAGTGATCGAGATCCAACAAGGTCAGGCAAAGAAACGAACCAAAGAAACTAAAGGCTAGAGCCAGTGGGAAAGTCTACAGTAAAACATGCCTGACCGAATACTATCGTTCTTTCATACTTTTGAAGCATTTACGGAAACCGAAAACGGATGTGTTCACTTAATTTGTAATACCTCTTCACCAACCTTCCGTTGGATGAGGTTGTTGACAATCTCTGTGATGTAATCACGGATACAACCCTTAACTACTGCTCCTACGGAAATGATGAAGAATGTGCTATCTCTGTGCACCGAAACCTCAGGCCTCAGTTTGAAGACAGAAAGTGTGGAAATTACTAACCAGACGTAGTCATGGGCATGCAACTCTGTATAAACGTCTATTACTGACATAGCCGTCCCCCGTAGCTCAGTGGTCTCAACCACGGACTGGCAACAGTCGAGTTGCGGGTTCGAGCCCTACCAAGGTTCCGATGGAATGCGCACTGCTAATGATTCCCGAAAGGATGAAACGCGCGTACAGTGCTTTTCCGGGCGTGTGGCGGCTGTCTGAGTGAGTCTAGATGTGACGAAGTTCTACCTATACCATTTGTTAATAGCTTGGTAGCACAGAGTCGCGAAATGACATAGTGATAACCGAGGTGGCTTATGTCTGAGGTAACAAATTTCGAGATCACTTTACCCAGTGGGTCACTCTTCCAGAACGATAGAAATTCAAGTTGAGGGGTAATAAGTTATTACAGTACGAACCTTCGAAGTGGACTTATGGGCAATACACAATCGTGTGTCACTGATTCCGCGTGATACTGGCAGCGGCTTAGGAAAAATTATACATGTCAACCGACATCCTAAATCTAGTCCCGAATTAGACTGCAAACTAACATCCTCTTCGCATCTGGTGATGAATCGGACATAAAGCCATATTCTCAATGCGGGAAATTTCAATGTGAATACTCAGGAAACTCCAGCAACCAACTAATGAACAGTTTAAAGGAGATACGCAATAGTAAATCTCTAGCACACCACTATGCAATCAGTGGGTAATATTGCTCTTCTAGGGAGATATGTTGGGAAAAACAAAAGCACAGAAAAACGGGTGAAAATTGGCGTATCATTCATCAGAGGATAATCTTAGGTGTGTTGATAAATTAGTATTGTCGTTACCAATTGCACCGCTCCAACGAGGTTATGAAGAGACAAGCTAGTTTCTCGCGCGGATTCCGGAAGCTATCTACATCCGCCAACTCAAGCCAGAATTGTGTGTACAAAAACAGTTTGTACGTCCTTTACTTTTACCGTGGCCTACAACTTCGGCTGTGATTTCCCCTGTATATACTTTGTCACCTTGAATGACCCAGTGATTTATTAATTTGTTCCTGTTGGAATTAAACATTCTGATCATTTCGCAGCCCATACCGGCACATGTAGCACTTTATCATCATCATGCAATGTTTGAGTCCGATGAGAATTACAGAAAAGAATTCTTTATCCAAATTCTGCCGCCCTTGATTCATTCCAATAAATGGGAATTTTTGGACTGTTGAAGACCAGCATTCCTCGTGATTCAGACAAGCTAGTTCACAGTGACAACGTCTGAGCAAGATAACGATCGTGGTCATGCAAGCTGGGGTTCCGGGAATCCACCATACGCAAAGTGAAAAAGCAAGCAGGTGAGGCCAATCGGGTTTTCACGACTAAAACAAGCGAAGTTGACAGATTGACTTACAAATGAACTGTGACATCTTCTTGCCTCCGTGCTGACGATCCATCCGCCAATCTTCGGGAAAAGATAACATCAGGGTGTTGTGGCGTAAATTTCCGAGACCAGCACACTGAGCCCTAGCAGTGTGAGCAAATGCGAGGGGCACTCAGTTGACGCAGACAATATTACGGATCAAATTTCAACCGTTAAAAAACTAGAGTGCTGGCTAAATGAGCTGACGATGCCAACACTCACAGGGGATTTCATATGATTCTGGAGAAGAAATAGGTGGCTAGCATTGTTTCACTGAAGAAAATAGAGGATGTACGGCTGGATGAGTTGTTCGTTTATGCACAGATGAAAAATAAGGCTGATATACACTGAGATAGAATTTCTAATCGAACGCCAACACAGAATGCGCTGCATAAAATATTACGTAGAAAAACACAATTAGCAATGGCTGGTCAGGTTTTCGATGAGAATTTATGCCACCTGACCGCTATGCTGATGAGAAACTCCAAGTTGGACAGGAAAAATAACATGAATTACTCAGTTAGCCGCACTAGTTGTAACGTTCCTATGAATTATTAACTCATGGCGCACAACCGAAGTGTCGGTGATTAGTCTATGAGATAATCAGTAGAATTTTGATTTAGTCGTTGGGAGTATTGGGGCAACGGTTTTAGGATTGGAGAGCATACGACACAGCTGATTTTATCTCCGGAAACCCCAAGTCGTTAGATTCAGACATAGAAAACTAGCAGTGATTGATACACTGTGGGGAAGTTACTCAGGAATGGAAAGTAGAATTCGTAGCTTCCTCTTAAACATGCCAAACAATACAGGTGTTGAGCAACCAGTGAGTCTACCACATGTGGAGAAAGTAGTGTGGTACTGGCTGCATGTTTATGTCAACTTATGGCATAAAACGGTCTGCTACTAGACAACGAAGATGGCATGTTGTAATGAACAATAAGAGTAGTTACGTAGGAACTTGGCAGAGACGGAGATGGTAGTATGAGCAAGGTCGACTCAAGAAGTCGGTGCTTCTGTATTTATAGCTACGCGGTGCAGAATTATAGACGAGTAAAACAATCATACTGTCACTGCTGGTGGGCTCGTTAAATCGGCTGTTTCCTTTTTATTAAACATCATCTATAAGTTTTCTATGATGCATATATCAGTTTTGCAACATTTTGACTGTTCTGGTCAAAATATTTTCAAAGATGTACCCACGGACACCGCGGATTTTTGGATTACCGTGCTGGATTCCACTTTTTCTTTGGGATTACTGTGTTATACGTGGTTATGAGACTGGGCAGTGAAAAGCGCAAGAAAGGTGTCTCGCCGATGCCTCCTTATCTTTGCACGATAGCCAGCTGTTTGTGACGGTACGTTGTCCATACAAGGTGTAGGCGCCTTGACCCTGAATGTTTTCTTATGGCATTAAGGTTTTAAGATAAGTACTCCTGCTCTACCTCTTATTGTTCTTTATTACATAGGTCATCATAATTGTAGGTAAGCGAAGCATCGGTTTAATTGGCTGATGCACTGCTGTTGTTGATGTTGTAAGTGACTTTTTTCTGTGAATTGTGTACCAATATTTCCCTGTTGGTGTATTTTCAATCTGCGAAAAATTCCCTGGTTAATTTTGGAGTTCCATTGATTGACCCAACTGCCGTCTGTGTCTGCCATGTTGGATTTGTTCTACGGTAATAGGCCATCATGACCACCACACCGGTAACCAGAAACAAAGTACTTTGTGCTAATCAAACTTGTGATAAGATAGTAAAAGGAGGGTTGACTTATACAAATTGTCAAGACCGATGCCATTCGAAATGCGTCAACGTCTGTAGAACCGACATAAAGAAATACAATACGCCGGGTTCACTTTAGTTCGGTCTGAAGTGCACGACGGTTCCCCTAGTAGAATGCGTACTAGCGTTAACACAAAAGTACGACAGTCTAGTCGCAGAAACTGAACATCGTCTGAATGCATAAATTGTTTCGCTAGAGGCGAAAATAGCATATCGCGCACCTCATCCGTCTCCCTCATTTGCTGTCTCGAAACCAAGGAAAACGTCCAGGCGTTCAGACGGTCACGCAGTGCTAAAAACTTTGGGAACCAAGAAGCAAGTCGTCAGCGCGACCGATAGAAGCATGCATAGCCCCATCGGCCACATCTTATTATCCAATGTATCGGCTGATGCAACATCGAAAATACCGACGTTTCCGATTGACCAAAGGAATATGAAGCGCTCTAAAGACCGATCCACCTATTCAACCTTTGCTGCTTGGTATAATCGAAGTGCGACCTCAGTAACTTCACCCAGTACAGCCACAAAACGGGTCAAGGACCAGGTGCAACCAGCAGAGAGGTCAATAAATCCCTCGATTACCGTGTCTCCCAGATCAGCAAAGACCAGGCGGAACTACGGAGCCTTGACACATATGCACCAAACTTTCTGAGTCCAAGGCAAACTCCTTAAGGGGTAAATAGTTGGAGGATTTAAGGCGGTTCAAGCCAGTCCGACTAATATAATGCGCATCACTAGACATCCAACCTCGAATCATTATGGGGAGTCCCGGCTAATGCGAGTAACAATGGGATCAACAGATGATGTCGAGACGGCGCTTTTGTCGACATACCGCCTGTGGACTGAAAACACTGGAATACGCATAGTTCCGGATGTTGCATTGAGAAAACGCCAGCGGGACAAAATTAATTCAAACGACCACCACACGGAGAGTAGCCAAAGAATTACTTTCGTTCATGGCCTGCCCGAGATACCGAGAACCAGCAATGAAGAAGCCCACGCTCATGAACTGGAAGAATAGCGTTACATGCGTGAAGCTCTCTGTGTGGACGACGTCATACTTCAGACAATTAAACGGTTACCCGTGTCGCCAAACTACAGGTGGAGTGGCTCGAGGATACTGAAACTAATGGTGCAGTCACAACAGAGATCCGCGAAGTAAATCCGTAGCTGGCAGTTACTGCGCAACATACTTCCTTTGGCACTACGACTGAAGACAGTAGTTAGACAGCCGCAGCCACTCGCTGTTCTCGCGGAAATGACATCACCAGCGAATCAATATAACCAGAACAGCGATTCGGAAACCAGTGCGATAAGACCCATGGGTATCGAGAAGGCTGCCGATGGACTACATAATGCACGTGCAAAGGAGACCAAAATCTGATTACAATCATATCGAGATCTGGCAATTCACCCAAAAAACGATTAGGTGCTGGCCTCTCATCGGTTGGCACAAACCCGCATCATTCATGTGCTCCTAGTCAACAGCTTTTGACATCCGACAAGCTTTCCTGTATGTACACCAACGCTCAAGACTTATTGAGTAAACTTTCTGAAATGTGGCTGCGTCAAGGATCAAAGCCTGCGACGTCATCGCAATAACGGAGACATGGCAACGTCCTGACATAAGTGACATCGAGATCGCACGTATGTTCGACACGACCGACCGAGTAAAGGTGGAGGGGTAGCGCTCTACTTCCGCAATGACCCCCAATGTGAGCTCATAGAGAATCCAGTCAGCAAGGTACAAGATTTCATTTGGTGCCGTCTACGTTTAAAAAGCGACGATACCTGCTTAGTGGAGGTCATTTATCACCCTCCTTACTCCAAGCCCGAGATGGACTTCGACCTGGCATCCGCAGTAAGGAGGGTGATAAACACAGCTTACAGTCACATTCTCATTACTGGCGATATCAACATCCACGCTTCCGAATCCCAAGCAGCCCGGAGAACAGTTTAAGGCAGATCTCCAGTTTCCCGCTGTATGGCCACATCAACACTCCCACCCGATTCAGAGAAAAAGATATGCCTTCGATACGGGATCGGATATTCACCAAAGAAGAACTAGTGGTCGAGAGGGTAGACGTTGTCCTCCCCATGGACCGCAGCAATCATATAGTCCTGCTTTTCGAATACGTTTGCGCCTGAAATACGCCGCAACATTTCAGTACGATCATTAGCCACCTAACCCTATGACAATGGTTGTTCAAGCCCAAAATCTCACTCACTTACCCTACACAGCAGAAGCTGTACTAAAAAAGCTGTTGAGTATGCGCAAGCACAGCTACTCTGGAGTTGATAATATACACATGAAATCGCTAGCGGCGGTAGGAGAGAGGCTAGCTGAGTTTTGGCTTAATTCTTCCAACACTGTTTTGACGAAATATACGTGCTCGACATGTGGAAACACGGGATGGAAGGTATTCGTTCCAATCCAACCAACTACCGTAAGGTAATCTTACTACCAGCTATTATTTCTGGTGTGCCAACGGCCTACTTGGAAGAATTTAACCATCTCGCGCCGGAACAGCATGGCTTCCGATGAAATCGATCATGCACTACAAATCTACTACAGAACGATCCAGCTGGCCTGAAGTAATAGACTCTGGCACGGGAGTTGATGTAGTCTATCTCGACTTCGTAAAGGTTTTCGTCCGGTTAGACCATGCAATTCTGCTCTTCAAACCAGATTTTGGTAATGGTGATCCTCTCCTATCGTGTATCAGAAGCTCTACACCGGCGCCTGGAAGTACGTGTGAGTGAAGCGCTTTCAGATCCCATCCGAGTTGAATGCGGGGTACCACAAGGATCGGTACTAGGACCGCGATTATTTTTGACGCATATAAACGATGCCACACTCCTCATATGTTCGAACTGCTTGCTTTTGCTGATGACATCAAGGTGTGCAGGGCGATCAATATACCAGATGATAACACTGTACTTTAAGCTAATCTTGGTAGGGTATACGCATGGTCAGTCCAGAATGTACTTCGATTCAATGTGGACAAATGTAAAGTGCTGCACTTACCGCACAAGTTGGTGCACTCTTACAAACTCGGTAACCTGGAGCTTCAGGCGTCTTCTGGCGAGAAGGATCAAGGAGTTTTTGCTTGGGTCGATCTAAGATGTTCGAATTAGGCTGAAACGGCGTCAAAGCGGCGCATCCAACACGTGGGCCTCCTGAAACGTGCATTCGGACGATTTGACCCTACAATTCCTCCACGATTTCTTGTCTCACACATACGTCCACATGTGGAATACGCAATACATGTCTAGCAGCCATGGCTGAGGAGAGGTCTCACCGCCTTGGGATACCCTAA